TATCTTCCCTTGTTCCTTCCAACTTTAGAAGTTTGAGGAGTTGCCCATAAAAAGTTGTTCACCATTGTTTTCCACTGTAGAATTAAGATGTGAACATCTTTTTGTCGGCATAAATATGGCGGAGCGCCACCAGGTCCCACCACCATTCTTTAAGAATTTCCGACAAAGATTGCCTCGGACAACAACTGCAGAAAAGATTTGATGTCATATACACCATTTGAAAATCTTGTCCACTTCGGCCATATGGGCTTGAGCCAGGCTTCTGTACTTGTTTCTCTTTACTTTTGCCTTTGCTACGGCCAATCTTTGGCCCGATTGTCCCTCTTTGTACACATATGAAACCATTTGCCATTAAAACTTGTTCTTTTTATTGCCCCCCCCACCCCCTTTAAGCTTGTGATGAACTTTTCTCCCAGAAGACTTTCAGTTTCTTGGATGTTTTTGAAGCATGTTCCACCACATTGCCCTTTAGACTCAATAGGATGCTACCAGCCGCTTTCTTTAGAGATATTGCGGTTGTCCTCCTCAATCCTCAACGCACAATTAACTCTTTCCATAGAAATTCTTTGCGCTTGTCGGTTTGAGGTAGTTCTTGATTCCTTCTAGCCTTTTGGTAATTTTTCATTAAGGCTGCAACTTGGAAGGATTCACTTTGCGAGGACATTGCCTTTCGTGAATTGTCATGCAGGAATGAGTTTGGAAATCTTGAATGGCTGATCACAGTTTTTGAAACAAACCATTAACAAAATCAAGGAATCTGCCACCACAATTTCTTTGAGCCGGGCATCTTCCGGTTTTGTAATTTTTTCTCCAAAGACTCCCAAAGTTCCTTTGTTGTCTTTGATAGGACTGTAGCGTTGTATAATGTGTTTGTCAAGTCCCCGTCAAAGGTATTGTGAGTTAGTTCCGACCATACACAAGCAAATCGATATATTTTCAGTCTAAAAGGGCAATCACCAGCACATGTAACCACTGTTGCCGGTTTCACTCATCGATTCCTCTTTCAAGATAAAGGAGCATCTTTCCACGGAGGAACCGAGCCAGGTCCTAAGTCAGAGTTGTAAGATAAGAAACAAACATTTTTCTGGTTGCCCATCTTTTTAAGTCTGTTCCTAAGAACTCTATGGCTTATCTTCAAATGATTTATTTGGTACTGTCACCATAGGAGAGGGGGTTGGGTTGCAATTGCCAGCAGCCACAGAATGTTATCTTGGTTTGGGCATTTATGTTTCAGCTTAGCCATCCAATATCTAATTTATAAAACAAATATAATTTAAATTACATACACAAAGAATAAAGAACCAAAAAACCTACTAAATTTTAAATTCTGTAAAAATAAATAGAAACAAAGAAATGTGTAATTTATTTCAATTAATTTTGAAAAATAAAATAAAATTTTATTTAAACAATTAACAATAACTACCAGAAATATACTTTTTGTTATAAAATAAAGAGGAAAACAACAACAAATATGTATCTTTTATTTTTTCAATTAATTTTGGAAAATAAAATAAAAATAAAATAAATTTTATTTAACCAAGTTAATTTCACACAGAAAACTAATCAAAATTCACAAGAAAAAAAAATAAAAGAAACAAGAATGTAACTTTTATTTTCCAATTAATTTGGAAATAAAATAAAATTTTATTTAACCAAATTAATTCCACAGCAGGAAATAAATTCTGTAAAATAAAAGAAATAAGTCTTTTATTTTTCAATTAATTTGGAAATAAAATAAAATATTTAACAAATTAATTCCACACACAAAATTAATTTCTGTAACACTTCAATAATTAAAATACCCACAAAACAGAATTTTAAGTAATGAAAACTCATAAAATAATTTCTAAAACCCAAAATTAATTTCTGAAAAAATTTCACAAAAATATATTCTGAATTGTTAATGACACCAGTATCGTACTACTAGTTGTCAAAGAAAATAGACAGTATATTACTACTATCTGTCAAATAGCATATAATCACTATTTGTTTTTCCAACCAGAATATTATTTTGTAAATCCACAGAAAATAATTTTCTTAAAAGAAGAAAGAGAAAAGGAAACAAACGAAAAATTCTGTAAACAGAATAATTCGAATCTGTCTTAAGATTGTTGGAACAATCTTCTGTGAAAATAAAATAAATTCAAACAATTCAAACAAAATAAAATAAAACTTACAGTATTTATTTTGTAGAACCGAATAAATAATTCAAAGACCAAGTCGAGTGTGTGACACTCTGTCTTTAAGACAGATTCGCCCCGCCACGGTGCTTACGGTTGAGTGGCGTCTATCTCCCAGGATTACAATGATCTTAATCAATTTGTAGTAGCACTCCAAAACAAATTGTTCGGCGAACCAAACCTGTGTTCTAACTCTCTGAATGTTTATTCTAAAACTAAAATGAAGAATAATGCACAAAATAAAATTTGGACAGCAAAGATGGGATTTGCAGACTGATTTTCGAATATTGAGATTACTGGAATAGATCTGTATATATAGACCTGAACAGGTGCTTCATTTGAAATGAACAGATACGGATTTCAAAAGAACAGGTGCAACAGATAACTGAATCAGTCTACAATCTGTAACTGCTGGATAGTTTGAAAACTGTCCAGATTTGAACCTGTAACTGCTTGAGCAGTTTGAAATGAATCTGTTCGAAATTCTGTATAGAATTTGAACTGTAGAAGGCACAAATTTTGGACTAAAATTTGAATTCAAATTCAAATTATGAAAATGAAAAATTTTAATTAATTTTTCCTGCAAGAATTTATTGAAAAAATTCAAATAAATTTTGTCCAAAAAATTAATGTTAGCACCACCCACACCCGCACCCGGCACGGCTTGGCTCGGCTGGACGGGCGGTGGCGGCGCGCGCATGTGTGGTGGTTTGGGTTAACGTTCACTTTGTCCATAACTCCTCCCTTCTACAAACTTGGGGTGTCCCTTGGGGCCCAACCCAAGTGTTGTAGGCTAGAGTTTAAATACTCAACAAAACTCTCTTAAAGTTTTAATGCGGGACAAGCCTCACAAAGAAACCCACATTTAAAACTTAAATGTTCAATTCCACGAACCCGAAACGACGTCAACTTCCCATTCACTCATAAATGGTTTTGACGTACCGTCTTCACCGTGTGACTTGCCATGCGACAAGGAACACTTCACCTCTTCGGACCCACCCCAAAAGACGTTCGGGGCCCACTCAATTTTGGGCTCAAAGTCGGCCCAAAATATGCCTATATTAACCATTTTTCCAACATGTGAACATATAATTTCTGAAAATAGTGATGTTCAGAAGGTTGTTTTTTAACTTAGCCTTCCAAACCAAAGAAATTGGATATTTATGATCATAGCACCCAATAAATCAAGTTGATTTTAGCTGTTCCATAATATGTACATAGTTCACTTATGCAAGAATAAATATACGCTTACCATCACTCAATAAATAACTTTTCATGGAGAGTCTCAAGCTACCATCTCAGGTTATTTCTATTTTAGAATCACAAATTAGAAGCTATATTTAAAGATAACTCTAAATTGACTTTGTACTCTTATTGAGAACAATGTATCTGTGGTAGTCAACATTTGGCTTGTAACCTATTACCTACCCAACTTTTTCTATTTCTAATTGCTATTAGTGAAAATCAAATGATGCCAAAGGCAAAATAAAAAAATTACAAAATATTTATTTATCATATTTCGAATTGGGTTCATCCTTATATTCATTGTATTGGGTATCATGCAATGCAAGAGTGATATACAAGACTGATCTAGTGTGAAGCAATCTCAAACTCTTGAGTGTAAGAGTGATATTTTGTGAAGGTTGTGAGTTTTCCTAAGATGTACTGGAGTTTACTATCTTCCATTGTACAAATGCTTTTGTATGAAGTAAAATTTACACATTTTATGAAATTTGTTATGTTTTTGAAGTGATTATATATTCCTTACCAACTAAAAAAATTGTTTATTAGCAATTTAAAGAGCGGAAGTTATATCATACTTACATGTTGGATTTCAACTCATATTCTTTAGTACGAAATTAATCCATTCAACTTGCACTTCATCAAGTTCAGTTTCCGTGTAAGTCTTTTTTCCATTGAACTACAAGAGGTTATTTAGAAACAATTAGATCATGAAGAAGATGTACAAGTATCATGAATATAATAGTAATAAAAGTTTAGAATGTGTCTCACATTTTGTTTTCTTAGGATGCTTTGATCTCTAATGAGGTCTTTCATATACCTCATTACATAAAACCACATTCCACGTTTGTAGGTTGTTGCGGGGACTACATGAAAGAATTTTCATTATTATTAGAAACTACATATAAAGTGTTATGATCAAGCTGAACAACCATTAGCATAAATATAAGTAAGATAAAATTAGAGAAAATGATATTGATTACCTGAACTACTTTCCAAACTGGATTGGTTCTCCTCCTCCTTTGGGTAGTTTCATAAATTTTCAAAACACTTTATGAAAGAAATTCCAAAAGTCAAAATATTTTTAGGCTAACTCAAATTGCTTAAAAATGTACAAACCAGCCAAACTTACGTGTTTATTACAATTTCAAGGCTTGTGTTTATTTTAGAATTAATCAGATCAAGCAAGTACACAATCATCAATGTTAGATCAATGACTAACAATATCCAATGGTACCTACAATTGAACAAGTCACAAGTATGAGTTTAATAAGTTTATTATCATTTGAACACATGAAATAAATAGTTTTAGATAATTACCCAATATTATAAGGAATTAAAATCAATTGCTCTAGCATAGCCTCCTCTAATCTTCTTGCAAGCACCACTGATTTTGATTTCTCCCCATCCATAGTTTTTCCACTAACGATACAAGGGTTACCAAATACAAATTGTTTCCTTCAATTGGAAACCTTCAACACCTGATAGAGATGACTAACAAAAGAAACTAATGTTAATAAAATTCGTAATTCATAAAATCTGCAGAAATAGCTATTGATGTAGCAAATTTTCCTTGCCTTATGTACAACATGATACATGTAACAGATAATTCTTTTAACTGACATATTGTAGACACCCCATTTTTGACCGTCCTCAAGACTTGGACGTCATCGTTTGAACACCCAGTGATCATCCATGTTTGTGTTCGTTTAGAGTTCCCGGAGGTCTCGGCTACGCGCTTTGCCTCAGGATCTCCGAACTCGACTGTTTAGTGTCTGGTTTTGCACCAAACACTTGTGTTTTGCCTTGGAGGGGCAGGGAATGCCTTGTGAGGCATCCCCATACATCACCGGCCATGGCTTGAGGCCACCGGCCAGTGATTTTGTGCCATCGGCAATATATATTGCCGGTCGGCAGTCCATTTTGTCAAAATGGCAATTTTGAGCAGCCGACTACTGTTCATCTGCTTTTGCAGATATTTTAATGCAGCTGTATGGCATTTTGTTCCCCTTCCTTGTTAGCTTACCTTGTAAGCTTTACAAGATTGGCTCCTCTATAAGAGGAGCCCTCCCCTCTTGGCTTTAGGGTTAGACATTTTAGAGACAAAAAATGCAGAGGAGAGCTCTGATTCTAGGGTTAGTATAGTTGTAGCTATTCTATCTCTCTTTTTCTCTTTTGAGTGTTCTAGGTGCATTTATTCTTAGTATTGCACACAAACACCTACCATTACACCTTCCCTTTGCTATTGAGGTCCTAAGGGACTATTTTCAGAGTTTTGGGGCTGGTTTAATCTCAAGGAAGCAGCTGGTCCTTCATTTGTGAAGAAGGTCAACAAGGGTAAGAAACTAGTCCCTTTATTCCCCATTCTTGCATACTTTTTTTGCCTATCTTAGAACTTTTTTTGAGCTTAGTGTATAATACAAAAAAGTTCTGTTTTTGGGCCCTCTAAATAGTTTGTTTAGAGTGTTTTGTGATTTGAGGTTGTTTGACCCCTCTTAGGCCTTGAAAGACCCCATTTTGTGCTATTTTGAGTGAGCTCCGAGACCTTGGTGTTTGGGCCTCCTCACCACTAAAATCTTGAGGGATTTCAGAGGCGAGGATGGTGCCTTGAGGTCCCAAGAAGGAGAGGGTCACCCCCTCTCCTTGTTGTCCTTGAAAAGGACCATTTTTGGCCTCTTGAGGGAGCACCTAGCTAAGCTTCATGTTGACCATGCCTTGGCTGTTACTTGTGCTTATTATGTCATAATATCCCTCTGTTTTTAATTGGTTTTGGTACACCATGCATGCTTAGCATACCTACCTTGTAATGCCATGTTTAGGCCTTAACATGCCTTAGGTTGTAAACCATTGTTCAAGCATGTTTTAGGTCTAGCTTTGTGAAGCTTTTGTGCTTATTTTGCCATGTTTGAGGTCTGTCCATAGTTGTTTGGGTCGACTTTACCATGCATTATATGCCCCCTTTGCATTTTGGCTTGTTGGCCTTAAGTGTGTGAGTGTGTAGCATGCACTACTTGCTTTATTCTAATGATTTGGCACCATTTATAGCATCATTTCAGTCCCTTTAACATGCTTGTATGCTTGCCTTGGATGCCTCTTTGAAGCTTTGAAAGCTTGTCTTGCATGCTCCATGTTTTGGCCATTGTGCATACCCTTTGAATTTGAGCCACTTAGATGTCATCTAGATGTCCCTTGGGTGTGGTCTAGGTCTGCCTTGGACCTGTTTTAAGCCCTCTTGGCCTTGTGAGGCTTGGTTGGCTTAACCATGGTTTAAGCCCCCTTAACTTGCTTCAAGTACTTGGGCCATTTGCATGCTAATGTTTAGCCTATCTTGTTTGCTTGGTTTGGCACCATGTTCTCGCATGATTTTCAGAGCCTAATGCGTGTCATTCGTCCATGTTTGCACCCTCTTGAGTGTGCTCGAGAATTGCTCTTTAAGGCTTAAGTGTTGGTCCTTGTGTGCATGCATGTTTGCATGTCATTTAGCCCTCATTTCATGGCACTTTGGCCACTGTTTTAGGCCTAGTTAGGACTGCCCAAATCATGTTTAAGTCCATCTCTTTGTTTGTTGCATGTACTCCTTGTATGTTGTAGCATATCGGTGAGTTGTTGCATAATTGAACTTGCATGATTGAATGAAGTCACATGTTTGTTTACATGCTTAAACACCCACATTGTGCCTTGCATACTTGTTGGTTGCATTATCTCATGCCTGGCATGCTTGTATGCTTGTTTGCTTGGTTTGTGTACCTAGTGTGCATCACTCACTTGTATGGTCATGTTGCATGCTAGCTCACATGATTAGGATTGCATTGCATTGGCATGCATGCCCTACCTCTTGACCAAGTCATGATGGAGGTAGAAGCCCCTTGGTTTGATTGTGTGCATTGTATTTCATTTGACATGAAAATTCATAACTTGGTCTCTTGGCCCATCACGCATTGAAATGCGCGATTGATGGTCCAAGAACCAAGGATCATGGCCCTTTGAGTCACTAACATGATAAGGGACATGATTTGTGCATACATTGCTTGAATTGCATTGCCATGCTCTGCCTTGCCCTCTGTTGCTGTCAATTGCAGGTTCTGCAGGAGCTTTCTGCCGACCGGCAGTGTCTAGTGCCGACCGGCAATCCTCCCTCGGCCGATAGCTTCACTAATGGCCGGTGACCACATACCACTGCCGGTGGCAATCCTACTCAGCCGGTGATGTCTCCCAATGTCCAGGGAAGCAATCCTGAGACTTTGGAAGTCTCCAGAGGGGCAAAGCAGGGAAAACAGAGGCAGATTGCGCATGGCAGTGCACTTCCGAGCAGGACCGAGCACGCATTGCATTGAGCTCTCTTCCCGAGGCGGTTTATCTGTTTTCCCTAGATTAGTTAATTTGCTTAGCTAATTAGATGGTCTGTAATATTTAATTAGCTTGTAGGTTAATTATTTGTAATATTCTTTCGGTCCCTCCAAGCGAGGGCGAATTTGTAATAAGTGTGGGTGAGTGTGTGCATGTCTTCCAACCCCGCGTCTTTCTTCCCTTTTACTTACTTGCTTTCAATGGTTAGTATTAGGGCATATTTAAATTAGCATACCTTATGCTATGCATGCGTGCATTCATACATTTGTCTTGCATGCACCGGGCTCGGCGCATCATTCTAACTGCATTTGTATTTCAATTCCAAATTTCTATTTTGGCTTGGAGTACCCGGTGAGTTTTATGCTTTAGCATCCTTGCATGCTTGTGAGTGACTGCCATAAATAGCATGCTTACCATGAGGCTAATTGCTTATGTGATATATCTGCCTGAATGCCTGTGGGTGAAGGTTGAGTTATCTGGATTGGAATGAATCATCAAATGTTTGTTTTAAGCCCACTAGATAGTGGCAAAACCATCTTTTCTAAGCCCACCCGAGGGTGGCAAAATCTGCATTTTTAGCCTACTTGCGAGTAGCAAACCATCTTTCAAAAATAAACATGAAATGTTTTGTTCCACTTCAGGCGACTCAGTCTATACTTGTATGCTGTGCGCATCACATAGCGACCTAGGCTAATAACCGGAATAAGGATACACAAAGTTTTCAAAAATAGATATCACGGTTAGTAGAGGCCGATAAACTGTTTGATTGCCTGTGGGTGAAGGTTGGATTGTCTGAGTTGGAAAAACTCGTTGAAATCCGTATTTTAGCCTACTTGCGAGTAGCAAATTCCAAAGTGTTTTTCAAGACAAACGGATATGCAATGTTTATTTCCAAATTAGGCAATCTAGTCTATACTTGTGTGCTGTGCGCATAACACAGTAATGCTAGGCTAATAAATGGAATAAGAACACATAACATTTTCAAAAACGGGTATCACGGTTAGTAGAGTCCGATCTTCAGATCGGGCGAGAGGGGGTGCTCATTGCTGACCTTCCCCGATCGTACCCAAGTTCCCGAGCCGAGGCAACTTTGGTGATGACGGACACGTGGCCTTTGGCACCGAGTCAGGGTTTCCTAAATTTCCCCACAATAAAATATTTAGGTGGCGACTCTGTATCTGGCAAAGCAGTCCATGTTTGGCACTTCTTTTCAAAAATTTGTTTCTCAAAACGATTTGTCGGATTTGGACTCTTCCACATTCAACATTAATTGAAACTCCCTAAGTTTAAAATTTTCAAAATAAACAAATATAAGTCAACTTTAATTTTAAGAAAGTGTAATAAAGTTTCTAAGTTTGAATATTTTACCTCATCACCGACCAATACAAGATTTTTGGGCCAAGCAACAAAAAATCCCACTGCTTCTCCAACAATAAGCATCTCATCTAGGATAAGTATAGGGAGAGGGGCATCTTTTTGAATAACAACTTCAATAGACACACGTACATTGGATTCTCCTAATGGCACCGTATGAATGGCTTCATTGGGTTCAATTCTCTCATACACCGTGCCATGTGCAACAATATTTTCAATGGAACTTACCGTGAGTTTACACGGTTCGCCCTATAACACACAAAGTTAACAATGGAACTTCTAAAAATATCACTAACGATATTAGAAATTATAATATCAATATATAAAAACTACACACCTTTCTCTTATTTTGTTTAGGATCTTGAGGTGGAATGTCGTCCTTACTTCTCACTCTAGTTTCTGCTAAGATAGAATCATGCTGAAAATTGCCTCTACCACCACTTTTCAACGTGTTTAAACATTTTCCCTATAACAAACACATAGATAACAACAAAAACACTAATAAAATCACTAACAGTATTAGAAAATATAACAACTTTAGGTGTTCTAAATGCTACACACATTTATAATCTTTTGGGTAAGAGCTTGAGGTGGAATGTCATCCTTAGTTCTTACTCTGTTTTTTGTTGAGAGAAAATCGCGTTGAAAATTTCCTTCATAGCCACTTCTCAAGGCGTTTGAACTAACATGTTCA